TATTGTAGGCTGTGGCTTCCATGGTATATATGTTCGTGGTTTTGTCAGCCAATAAGAATAATTTAAAAAAAATGTCAGCCAAAATTGTTTTGTCAGCCAAATTTTTTTTGTCGGCGAATTTTTTTTGGACAGGGCCAGCATGCAAAATCGCATCAAACGCCTTCCAGTTGCCTAAAGTCACCGCCTGAGCTGCGCCATTCTTATCTAAAGCCTGATAGACAAGTTCTGTGATGAAACAAAAGTGATATTGCTTATGCGAAAGAAGCTCGATGTAATAAAATGCTTAACCAAATAGGATAAGGTTGTCATACGTGAAATGACACACTTTCTAGGAAATGAATAACACGCTTCTGAAATGTTTAAATAAATAACGAATTTATTACGTTGTAACACATGAAATGAAAGGAAATCAATAAAACGCTTCTGAAATGTTTAAATAAATAACGAATTTATTACGTTGTAACACATGAAATGACGCACTTAATAGGAAATGAATAAAACGCTTCTGAAATGTTTAAATAAATAACTAATTTATTAGGTTGTTTTATATGAAATGCACTTTTTGAATAAAATGAAATGTTAAATAACTAATTTATTAGGTTGTCACAGATGAAATGACGCACTTTATAGGAAATGTATAAAACGCTTCTGTAATGTTAAATAACTGATTTATTTAGTTGAAATATTCACTATGCTGATGAATTAAGTGTTCTCTAATGTAGCTCTAATTTCTTGATTCCATCTTTAAAAAATTATCACTAATTGATGTGATAAAAAGTTTAAATGTTTCGATTACCTCTTCTTTATTGAAGAATATTTCATTGCGTATGAAAAGACAAAAATGCTTAAATCAGTGATAATCAGCAGCGGAGATAGCGGGTGGATATGGAGGATGAGGCAAAATTTCATAACTCAAGTTATGCAGCTTTGGCACAGTTGATTGAGAACCGTGCGTTGCAGTGTGCATCACAATTGGACCATCCCTATTCACAAGTTGAGGATGATTCTTTTTCAATTTTTCGTGCATGCACTCAATTCCTTCACAATACGTGGTTGCTGTTATTGGTTTCCTTTCAGGAAAGAATGAACAATGAATATCCCCTTTGAAAGACCACCATACAATAACATAAACATTTTAGAATGCAATGGAGGTTTTGGACATTGTTTTGGTGTTTCAATTAATTCCAATCTTTTGCCTAGTCTCTTACTGTTGTCAAAGAGTATCCATTTCTCATCTCATTTGATTCGATTAAAAAATGGTACTTGTTCCCAATTTGTATGCATACAGTAAAATTACTCGATATTGTTTCATTGTAATCATTTTCATTCTGCTTATGACCAACAAGATATTGAATGAAAAATTATCTGGAAAGAGAAAGAGTTAGGAATAAGATTATTTATTTCGTAAAACTACAAAATTTTGGCACAAGGCTGAAGGGGAAATGGAGAGAGGCTGGTCTTTATTAGCTATACTAGTCCTAGTTAACCACAAACACGACCCATTAATTCATTACAACTTGTCCATTCGCTACAAAGTCTCATCTATCACCACTTAACCCAGCATATACCAAAATACTGCATATTAAAGGGGACCCACAAAACATCCCATGATGTAAAAATTTAAATCCTTTACATTGTCCATATAGTTCGTTTGTAATAAAATTCCATGATTTATTAAATAATGAGGTGGGAGGATGAAACCAGAAAATAAACTAAAATGAAACACAAAGATAAAACTAAAACGAAACAATATTAGTAGGACCTAAGAGTTAGGAATAAGTTAAGATATTTTTTATAGCCTTAAGGCGATTACTTCGTTAGACGACCGTGTCAACAACAAACCAATAAATGCGTTATTTCATGTGTGACAACCTAATATTTTGCCAAAAAAGAGGTAAATGAATAATTGGGTGATTTTTTTTTTTTTTTTTTTTTTACACTTTAATCATTTCACCCAAAGCAAGCCTATAAAGCCTCTGAGACGCAATGATTGTGACAGAATATGAGAAAAGGAAAAGATTAAAGAGAAAGAACGATAAAAAGAGAGAAAATTAAGAAGACTGGAGATAACATGAATCCGCCTCATCCCCCCCCGTTATGGTTTAAATAATAAGACTTGTTTCCAGAAAAATCATTGCATTGATGTTCTTGAAAATCAATGTTGGCTTGGAAGCAATAAGCTACAAGAAAGAAATGCGAGAGTAGAAACGTACGATTGCATTTTGCAATTCCAACTGTGAAAGAAGGATTCTTTTCTTCGAATCTGTTATTACTTTAAATTCATAAAGTCTATGTAACTGTTGTAGAATAGTTTTCACAGTGGAGGCTTGTATTTCACTAAGTCGGTCCTAAAAGGGTCCGACGTACAAAACGTTAGGAACTTGAAATAAGAGTTAATGACGCAGCAATCTCGTTGTGGTGGTTGATACTTCAATGTCCGACATCGACTGACTCACTCAACTTCACTGAGCCCCACTGGAGACTGCTACTACTACTACTACTTATCTGTGGGAGAGTCAATTTACCATAGAATAGGTACGTTCCGTTATAACAGCAACATAGAAGCTGTAGGTTTCAATCCTTATAAGGTATGACTATTTATTTCGTATTTAATTATATAATTGTGGCACAGGGCCGAAGAGGATGTGGGGAAAGGCTGGTCTTCACTGACTATCCTAGTCCTTGTTATTCACAATCACGATCCATTTATTCAGTACAATATACTCAGTCACCACCTTCAGATCCTACATCTACCACAATACCACATTGTCACAGGGTACCTACAAAACACTCAATGATGTAAATATGTGTGCAATTCACTCCTTATAAAGTAGGACTGAAAAACACGTTACCCTTCCCAATCTATAGGCAGATCCACACAAATGCATGTTGGGGTTTCTTCCTAGCCAATAAAATAGCCCGTTTCTTGGTTTCAAATGTCTCAGTTCAGATCTGACGTTTCAGGTGGTTTGGGATGACTTGTCAAACTCTCTGCTTTCGGGCAGAGAGGAACCCAGACGAGTTTATGCCGAAGGGCAGAGTTGCGTCTAGACAAGACCGACCCCGTGCATGCGGGGTCTACGGGGATTTTTTTGTTCAAAGCTACAGGCTCGGTTTTGCCCTACGTAAAAAAGGCGTTGTGCCATAGCCTGCCTTATGGGGAGGCTAAAGTAAATAAACTCAGTCCCGATCTGTCCTGTCTTGAAGTAGGAAAGCTACGTTTGCTTGTCGGAACTTGCTCTTGTGTGTCAACCCCAATTCTTAGTTTGTGAACTTTTTGCCATATTACTATTGCTTTGATTTAGTTCCGTTAATTTGTCTTGTATATATTGTTTCCTTGCTTTATATATATATATATTTTTTGGTCTGCTTTTCTTTTCTTTTGCTTGTTAAACAGTTTTCTCATTTATTTTGCATTTAACCATCAGTCCATTAGAACAATTAACATGCAAAAGTAACAGAAATGGAGATGCCAGGAAAGCACTAATAAAATTGCAGTATCTTCTTTGGATTTCATCAAGCATCTCTAAATGAGACCAGATGAAGATATCGAATATTAGAAAAGATACTCTTGAAGAATTCTACCAAGGAGTTAGCAAATATAATTAATTATCTATCTATATTTCTGAGATGAGGTATTATGTACACTATTTACATTATTCGGACTATTGTTCTCATCTTTGTCGCCATATTTATCACAACGTTTCGGCCTTTCAGTCTGTATATTTCTGATATGAGGTATTATGTACACTACATTATTCGGACTGTTGTCCTCATCTTCGTCGCCATATTTATCACAACAATTCAGTATCTGTCTATATTTCTGAGATGAGGTTTTATGTAAATTATTTACATTATTCGGACCATTGTTCAGATCTTTGTTGCCATATTTATCACAATGTTTAGGCCGTTGTACGCTCCGGTCTTCTAGAGGTGGCTTTAATGTCAAACTGAGGCCTTTATTTCGCTCGCAGGGCTAGTCTGTTATCTCCTGTTAATTCGCCTCTACAAGTTCTTCACTGCCTTAATCAGGTATTGAACTGAATGTCTACCTCAGACTGCAAAATAAAGGGTTCAGTTCGACATTCCAACCACCTGAAGAAGGACGAGGCGTGCAACGGCCGAAACGTTGTGATAAATATAGCAACAAAGATCAGGACAATAGTCCGAATAATGTAAATAGTGTAAATATATTTAAATTCAACATATATTCTGTTGGTTTAATTACTTAAAGACTAAATTATAAGGACTGTAAAATAGTTGACCAAGCTAGACAATTGGCCTGATGATGCCACCGTTTGGATTTCGAGCCCTGTTAACTAAAAAAAAAAAAATAAAAGTTGATTTCCAAATTATTTATCCATCTCCAGGACGATTGAGAATTTGAAGAAAACAAATTTATTATCTTTTCAAGTTTTTATTTCACATTTACATTTCTACAGATCTAAATTAAGCTACGTAAAATTCTTCAGTGTGTGAGCGGGCTTCTCGTGTAGAAGGCACCAGTTGCAAAATCATGACGAGACATTAGAAAACGGGGACTGCGATTTCTTGCTGAAATTTGTTTATGATCGAAAAATGGTTCACTATTGGTAAATTAGGTCATCTTGGGAACCGTCGGCATCGAAGAACACCAAAATGGAATCAGGAATGTAGACGAGGTACGGGAAGGAGGAGGCTGGAAAATGGGAGAAAAAATAAATAAGTGAATTATAGAAAATTGATTTAATCCTATGATTCAGTTAGGGAAATGTGTCAATTTGGAGGAGGCCAAAAAGATAGATGATGGGGATAATGATCATGATGATGTGGATGAATAATGGAAGATTAAGGAAGAAGTAGAAGGAGGAGGAGGAATGGAAGAAGAAGAAGAAGAAGAAGAAGGAGGAGGAGGAGGCGGAAAAGGAGGATAATGAAGAAGTACAATGATGGAAGGAAATATTATGAGAACGTTTATAAGAATCTAGAAAGTAAAGCGGAATAATATGAAAATCGTCTTTTCAGTGGGAATGGGTATAAAGAAAAATGTAGAAAGAAAAGGAATAAAGAGAAGGAGAGGGCTGTGGAATTAAAGACACCGGAGAGGGAGAGGGAAGAAATTGTGAAGAAGAGAAGAGAATGAAAGAAGAAAATGAATACGAATATAAATTAAGAGTTGAAGAAGAGGTCATTGATAAATGCAGGAAGAAAATATTGCTGCAATATGCTGAAAAAAAAATCTAAAGAAAGAAATAAAAGAAATAAAAAAGAAAAGGAAGAAAGAAAAAGAGAAACAGGTGAAGTTGACACAATAATTAATCTCAGATGAAGAAGAATGTCACCGGACAGGTTAAAGAAATAAATAATGAAAAAACGAAAGAAGCAGAAGATGAAATAAACAAGAAAGTTAAAAGCAACCATCAAGAAAAAATCCTGATTTCTTCTTCTTCTTCTTCTTCTTCTTTCCTCTTTTTTCTATTGTGAAGAAGAAGAAATAAACATGGAAGTTATAGGTAAACATCAAAAGAAAAAAATGAGCTAATGAAAAATGAAGAAGTTAATGGAAAAGCCCGATAATAGGGACGAAAAACTGCAGACCATGGGAAAAAGAAGATGACGAAAAGAATAAAATAATGCAAAGAAAAAATAAACCAGATAAAATAGGAACATGAAATAAAAATCAAGAAAAAAAAATGAATGAAAAATAAAACCCGAATGAAATCAATATACAAGCATAAAGTGAACATGCAAAAGTTGATATCACATTAAACTTACTGTTAAAAAGATAGAGAAAAAAACATGTAAAAATTTAAAATGCGACCACCATGTTTTTTTTTTTTAATGTGTCATCTCTCTACTCGTTTGTCTTTATCTTTTTCTTTCTTTCCCTTCTCGTCGGCCACCCTTTTATTATATATATTTCTTCTTTTTTCCTTTTATTATCCACCATGTTTTTTTTTTTTGTGTCTTCTTTCTTCTCGTTGTCATCAGTCATATTTTGTATTGCATTTTCTTCTATTTTCCCTTTTTACATTGATTATGTTTTTATAACGCTGTGTCTTCTTTTTTTCATCTCGTTTGTGAAAACAATGAATGTGACTTTCGCAATCAGGACATAGCCGATTGGGGCTCGTCACAACTTTATGTCCCTTGTAACTCTTAAAAGACATTGTTTTTTCTGTTATTTCAGCTAAGCTCTTTTTCGCCATTCATTTATCCAAGCTCACTAAATATATTATCCGTTTTTTTCCTCTTCCCGTCTTGCCATCTATCTGCCTTGTGAGTGTCAGATTCTACAAGTTCTCTTTCATTATATGCCATAAGAACCTCAACTGTTTCTTTCTGGTGTTAAGTATAGGTTTCCATTTTGTTTCCGGTACATGGTATCCGCAGAATCCTTCTGTAGAAGCAAATTTCTGTTGCTTTAAGTTTCTTCTTCATCCCTGAGGAGATCGCCAATCACTCACCGCCATATATGATAACAGACACCACGTCACCGTCTATTAAACTGTTCCTTGTTTTCAGCGAAATTGTTCTGTTTCATATTACTCTCCTTACCTTTTGAAATACTTTCTTTGCTATCCGAAGACGCCTTTAGATTTCGGTAAAATTACATGGATAAAACAGATGAATTATTAACACTAGGATGGCCGAGGTGTATGTTTCGATACCTTCAAATTTTCAACCAATTACTATGGAATAACTAGTTTTGGTTCGATGCTGAGGCTTATGGACAATTTTTGAATTTTAGCAAAGATGCTTAACAGACAATTCTTTAAAAAATATTCAGTGGAATAGCTGATATTTGAGGTTTTACCTTGAATGGCCGAGGTCTCGTTTTTGACACCTAGGCTATTTATAGGGTAAATGCATTGAAACATTTCTCACAAGCAATAATACTTTTGTTTATGTCCCCTATCTATCTATTTATCTATCTATCTATCTATACACACACATAATTTATATATAAATATATGTATATATAATCACTTTCTCTCAGTATGAGGTATACTAATATTTGTGAATTTCTTTTCAGACTTGTTATTCCTGACTTGAATATTGAATATATTAGAGATGGCTGCTTCACGGCGTAATGTAAATAAAGATGTCAAAGGAGCTGGCTATCCTAGTTTTAAGTAAAATAACATATCTAATAATAAGCATCTTGAATAGATTGGATAAAGGATTTCTTCTGAAATTTCAGGAAGGGTACCGATTGAACGGTTAGACAAATGGAAGAAGAATGGCGGATAAAAAAAAAAATGCGATGAAAAATATAGATACATAAATGAGAAGAAAGAAGGAGTTGAAAATAACAAAAGAAAAACATGGCGGACTCAAAAAGGAAAGATGAAAAAACGGAGTGTAAAAGATGAAAGACGAGAATGAGGAGAAAGAAGCCACAATGAAGAAAATGGTTAGCTAAACTAGAAGAAAGAAGCAGTAAAAAGAGAAGAAACATTATAATAAGATGGCGGACGAAAACGAGAAGAAAGAAGAGGTCGCTATGAAAATGATAAAAAAACACAAACTAGATGAAAAAAGAAGACACGATATTATAAAAATGCATAATCGATGCAAAGGGGAAAACAGAAAAGACAATAAAAAATATAAAGGATGAGAACGAGAAGAAAGAAGACACAGTGTAAAACAATCATGGTGGACAATAAAGGGAAAAAGAAGTAATACAGTTTAACCCGGATATAAGAGAAACCCGTATATAAGAGAAACCCGGATATAAGAGAGATTTTCTCTGGTCCCAAATTAGAGCCTGTGTTAATGTATATAAAATAGACCAAACCCAGATGTAAGAGAAACCCGGATATAAGAGACTTCTTCTCCGGTCCCGACAATTCTCTTATATCCGGGTTACACTGTATAATAAAAGTGTGACCAGCGAGATGGAGAAGAAAGAAAAAAAATGGTGGCGAACGAGAAGAAGTTATGATAAGAAAAAAACATGGTAGTCACAAACAGGAAAAGAGAAGAAAATATAGTAACTTAAACCAGATGAAATAAGGAGTAAAAAGCAAAATAAAAACTTGGCGTACGCAAACGAAGGAGAAGAAACACAATAAGATGGCGGACGAGACTGATAAGAAAGTAGACACGGTGTAAAACATCGGTGTACGTAAAAAAGAAGAAAGAAGCTTCGTTTTGGTCATATTCTTTTTTCTTTTCTTTTTTTCTTTTTGTTCTTCTTTACGAAGTGAATGTTCAACAATCTTTTCCTCGTTTCCAGTCTCATTCTCTGCTTTCAGCCCCCTCCCGACTCAGTTGTCATATGTTCATGATCTTCATGTTCAAAATTTCTTCATAAAAATAAAGTTCACACTCTCTTTTCCTGGAGATATACAAATTCCGAAGTAGCAACTGTTCATATCGTTAAAGGTGGAAGAACTCAGTTCGGTGTGAAACCTTTCGGCAAATGATCGGGTACACTTTTGAAATCCTCCCACTCACTAATTAGCATTGACACAGGTACTGAAAGCGACTTCGTGTTGTCTTCCACGTGGATGCATGGTTAAATATCTTCCTACAGGGGCAATAGTAATGGTATTGGTTAAATTACTTGTAGAGTATATTCAACATAAATTGGTCACTTAACGCGACTGCCGGTTGAAATGTAAAAACTGTCTTCATTAAAATAGATTTTCAGGATATTAAAAATCTCAAGATGTTATTGCGTTTTATAATATTGTAGGTCAGTTGCCTTCTAAGCTATTTGCAAATGGTTATGTGGAAAGTTAACAGTATTATAATGGCATTATTTTCATTACTAGTTACATGAGCTTCCTTTTTTGCATGGTTTGTTTTGTTAATCGTTTCACCCCAAAGAAATAAATACTACAGGGGGGGGGTGAGAGGGAGTTAAAAAGAATGAGAAGACATCAGTGAAGATGATTGAGGAACAGACAAAAAAAAAACAACAGTGTTAAAAAAAAGGATAGTGGTTGGCGTTGCATTTATATTTTTGAAGATTGTACCAATCAGAGAAAAGAAAATCCGAATGTAGTTCCACACGTGAGAAGTGCGAGAAAAGAAACTGATAGATTAATGATGGCGGTTGGATTTCGTTTAATTAAACATTAAAACGGTGAGAGCTAGTTGCCAATCTGGTAGCACATTTAAATTCATGTAGTCGGGGAAGCATGGAAAAAAGTTAATCAAAACTGTTGCCATGGGAATATTTGTAGAAAAGAAGGAAGCCACGCCACGTCTATGAGAAAGTAACAGAAGTCGAGATGCATTACAGCTTACATTAGAGATTCTTCTTTGGATTTGTCAAAAACCTCGAGATATACAGTAGAAGAACTAGAGAAGATTGGTTTGGTTTGTTTTGTTTTACGGCATATCAACCTCAATGGGCCATTTAATGCCAACAACTTTTTTTCCGGGTAATATTTTTGTTTTGTCAAAAATCTATTTCTGATAATATCTTTTCCTCAAAAATGTATACCTGGTAATAATATTTTTTCAAAGACGTATAGCTGATAATATTATTTTTTCAAAAACGTATAGCTGATAATATTATTTTTTCAAAAACGTATTGCTGACAATATTTTTTCCAAAAACGTATTGCTTGTAATAGTTTTTTTTTTCTTCAAAAGCGTTTTGCTGGTAATATTTTATAATGCTTTTTACCTCACTTGCGGAGTTAACTATTTGCCCATAGCTGGGACCCTAACAGGTGCTACCACCCCGGGTCAGGGGGGACCTGGGAACACCAGCAATTAAGAGGTGGTTCTATGCTCCTCAAACCCTCCTGATCAGAGGCCTTGCTGTTGAAGTAGTTTATCGTCTTACCCAGGACGCGGATGTAGTTTATCGTCATACCAGGACGCACTAGAGAAGATATAGCAACAGTATTCAATGCATGGACAAATGGTAGATTTCTAAATGGACAAAATATACCCCGACGATAAAAATTCTAGCACAACACAGTGACGCAACGTTTCCTTTCACTCGATGTACCAATAAATAAAGTCGTTCCTTTTCGTGCCACTGGAAAAGTCGGAGGGGAGGGTTACCATTCTATACTGAGGCAGAATTTTTTCCATTGATTAAATGAATGTTTTAAATTTACAAGCCATTTCGTACCCCAGTTAACCACTGATTGGAGGTCATCATCAAGAGAACCTGCTATACTTTGTTATAAATTATATTTATGAATATATATATATATATGCAGGACCCCGGCGTGGTGTACACACACACACACACACACACACAAACACACACACACACACACACACACACACACATATATATATATATTCCATTTATGGCAGTCCTTTTAAAGGGCTGTGGTGAAATAATTTATTCATGGAAACTTAAAGGGGTCTGTTTTTATTTAAATTATTTGCTCTGGATTTACATTGAGCTCTCTGGATTATATCTTCCTTAAGTATAGTTTTTCATAAACTATATATATATATATGTATATATATATATATATATATATATATATTATTCAAGATCATTTTCCAAATTATTCAAGACGATATGTGCCATCTCTAAACTTCTAACCTTCTTTACTGGAGTAACAAGATGTCTTACAGGTTTCACGTACGATTTCACTTTCAAGTCTTTTCACTGGTCTTCGGATTGTCATATCTGAAAATTCTTTCTAACTTGTCAAATGTCAGTTGGCATTCTGAAAAAATGGATATCCTTTGTACACCAGGATCTTCAAGTCATAGATGGATTTCAAAAGCAATTTAAAAGATATAAAAGGTCAATTTCAATATATATATATATATATATATATATATATATATATATATATATATATATATATAGTTTTAATTGTGCTATATTTATGGGATAAACAATATCAGAGGTCGTATGTAAGTATGAATATAAAAGTGAACATTGAAGTCAACACTCAGAGACGACAGGCTGTTTCATGCCAGCGACCTGACGATATAAATTTATATATATCAGTGGTAACACTAGGTCATCGATATTTGCTGGGCTCATTACAATCAATGGTATAACTTAAATGCTAAAGTAATTCCTTTATTCTCACTGAAATATATAATTTTGGAAAATTTCTAGCTATTTATCTTTTTTTTTATATAACATATATGTTAAATTTGGAGTGTGTGTTTGTTATATATATGTCTATGTGAATTTTACCTTAATTTGTCTAATGTTGAAGCCTCTCATTTCCAGTGAATTTTATACTTTTTAATTTGGTCGGTTAAATTTAACGACATTTTGGCTCATATTTGAAAATAATAAGTTGAATAAAAAAAATCAAAAACGTGTTCTTTGAAAAACAGGGTATTAGAGATTTTTGCTGACATTGCCTTATAATTGCCTCAGCTCAGATACTAAACCAGCCAGCTCAGTGCTAAGACCTAAGCAATCTAACGAGCCATGTCACATAGGGCTAAAACTTACGCAATCTAACACTCCCCAAATCCAACGGACAGATAGGGCTTATACATCTTTTAAACCTTACTAGTGGTAAGGTCTAAATTTAATTACGCAATCCTGGCCATTTTTCAAGCTAAGACCTGACACTATCTTGGCCAGCTCAGATAGAAAGTTTATACTCTAAGGAATAAATTATTTAAAGTGCATATTTGAAAATAATAAGTTGAATAAAAAAAAATAATAAAAACGTGTTCTTTGAAAAACAGGGTATTAGAGATTTTTAAAAGATTATTAATAGAAATACATTGCCTTATATATTGCCTCCAGCTCAGATAGGGCTAAGAGCTACGCAATCTAACTGGCCATCTCAAATAAGGCCAAGACCTCACATCTCGTTGGCCATCTCACATAAGGCTAAGACCTACTGGCCAGCTCAATCAAGAACGCAAGCCATCTCAAATCACACCTACGGGCCATCTCAAAAAGGCCTACCTACGCAATCTAACAGGCTAAGACCTACGCCATCAAATGGGGCCAAGACCTACGCAAAAATCTCAAATAAAGGCTAAGACCTGAATCTAACTGGCCAGCTCAGATAGGGCCAAGACCTACGCAATCTAACTGTCCATCTCAAATAAGGCCAATCTAATTAGCCATCTCACATAAGACTAAGACCTACTCTATCTAACAGGCCTAGCTCAATCTAACTGGCCATCTAAAATAACCTACCAATCTAACTGGCCATCCATAAGGCTAAGAATCTAACTGGCCAGCTCAGATAGGGCTAAGACCTACGCAATTTAACTGGCCATCTCAATAAGGCTAATACCTACACTATCTAACTAAGACCACGCTATCAGATGGCCAGCTCAGACAGGGGCCAAGACCTACCAATCTAACTGGCCAACTCAAATAAGGCTAAGGCTATCTAACTGGACCTAGGGCCAGACCTACGCAATCTAACTGGCCATCTAGGGTATTGACCCCAAATAAAGGCCAATACCAAGACCACCAATCTAACTAAATGGCCAGCTCAAATATCAGGGCCTAAAGATGAGGGCAATCTAATAGCCAGCTCAATAGGGGGAGCAATCTAAGACTAGATAAGGCCATCTCAATACCAACGCAATCTAACTGGCCAGCTCAAATAGGGCCAAGACCTACGCAATCTAACTGGCCAGCTCAAATAGGGCCAAGACCTAGGCAATCTAACTAGCCAGCTCAAATAGGGCCAAGACCTACGCCTAAGACCTCACATAATCTAAGACCTACGCTATCATCTCAGCTCAGATAGGGCCAAGACCTACGCAATCTAACTGGCCATACAAATAAGGCCAAGACCTACGCAATCTAACTGGCCATCTCAAATAAGGCCAATACCTACGCAATCTAACTGGCCATCTCACATAAGGCTAAGACCTACGCTATCTGGCCAGCTCAACAGGGGCCAGCTCAGCCATCTCAAATAAGGCTAAGACCTACGCTATCTAACTGGCCAGCCAGAAGGGCCAAGACCTACGCAATCTAACTGTCCATCTCAAAAATAAGGCCACGCAATCTAACTGGCAATCTCACTAAGGCTAAGGCCATCAGATCACTGGCCATCTCAAATAAGGCCAAGACCTACGCTATCATAAGGCTAAGACCTACGCTATCTAACTGGCCAGCTCAGATAGGGCCAAGACCTACGCAATCTAACTGGCCATCTCAAATAAGGCCAATACCTACGCAATCTAACTGGCCATCTCACATAAGGCTAAGACCTACGCTATCTAACTGGCCAGCTCAGATAGGGCCAAGACCTACGCAATCTAACTGGCCATCTCAAATAAGGCTAAGACCTACGCTATCTAACTGGCCATCTCAGATAGGGTCAAGACCTACGCAGCCAGACTGGCCTAAGTTTATAGTATTCTTTTTTAATTTTTTCTTTCTTTTTTTTTTTTCTTCTTTATTATGAACAATATCAACGAAATGGAATTCGTTCGATCAATATTTAGAATTTTAAAATCAAGTAAAAACGACGAAGTACAAAAGATTTTTGCTGCTTTGTAATAGATATACTTAAATGTTGACTCGCCCGAACCTCCGGAATTGGAATTGACACACAACTTTTTCATGTTCGTTTCTTTGTTTATTGATATATTATTTATTTATTTATGTCTTTCTTCTCTATTTCTTTATGTTATTCACTATTACTTTCTAAATATGCCGTCTTTTACGTTTTTTTTCTTTTTTGCTTCTTCTTTTTCTTTCTTTCTAATCATCAATTTTCCTGTTTCGCTATTTCGAATATATCATCGTTTTCGCTTTCTTTCTTTTCCTTTCTTTCTTTCTTTCTTTCTTTGTTACTTGCTAACATTTTATTCTCTCTTTTTTTCTTTCTTACTTGCTAACATTTTATTCTCTCTTTTTTTCTTTCTTACTTGTTAACATTTTATTCTCTCTTTTTTCTTTCTTTCTTTGTTAAAATTTTATTCAATTTTCTTTCTTTCTTTCTTTCTTTCCCTGTAAACATTATATTTCCTATTTCTTTCTTTGTTTATTTATTTCTTGTTTTTCCTTTTCCTGTAAAATGTTTTTTTTTCATTTTCTTGTTTGTGTCTTTATATGCGTTCTTTGTTTCATTCTGTTTTTGATTCTGTTTCTGAATTTTCCCGTTTTTCATTAACAATTTTTTCCTGTTTTTTATTTCCTCTTTTTCATTCTTTATCTAATTAATTATTCTCACGCACTGTGTATGAAGATAAGCTACACCCGTCAATAAGGTCTCTGATCGGGAGATTGAATGTTTTGAGGAAAGTAGAACAACCTCTTAATTGATGTTGTTCGCAGGTTTAGGTGATAGTATCTGTAATGGTCCCAGGTATGGGCAAATAGTTAACTGGTAACAAAACACTATGAAAATAATTTTTTGGGTAAAATTATCAGCAGTACATTTTAAAAAAACACCAGCAAAACACTTTTGAAAAAAAAAAATATTATCATCAATATATTTTTCCAAAAAAAAAAAAAAATTACCAAAAATATATTTTTTAAAAATATTACCTCCGATACATTTTTGAAAAAATTTTTACCAACAATATATTTTTGAAAAAAAAAATGATGTTATCATCAATACAATTTTCCCAAAAAATTATTACCAACAATATATTTTGAAAAAAAATATTATCATTAATACAATTTTCTAAAAAATTATTACCAACAATATATTTTTGAAAAAAATGATATTATCATCAATACAATTTTCTAAAAAATTATTACCAACAATATATTTTTGAAAAAAATGATATTATCATCGATAAAATTTTCTAAAAAATTATTACCAACAATATATTTTTGAAAAAAAATGATATTATCATCGATACAGTTTTCCAAAAAATTATTACTAACAATATGTTTTTGAAAAAAAATTATATCATCAATAGTTTTCCAATAAATTATTACAAACAATATATTTTTGAAAAAAATATTATCATCAATAAAATTTTCCAAAAAAATTTACCAACAATATATGTTTGAAAAAAAATGATATTATCATCAATACAGTTTTCCAAAAAATTATTACCAAGAATATGTTTTTGAAAAAAAATGATATTATCATCAATACTGTTTTCCAAAAAATTATTACCAACAATATATTTTTGAAAAAAATGACATTATCATCAATACAGTTTTCTAAAAAAATATTACCAACAATATATTTTTGAAAATAAATATTATCATCAATACAGTTTACCAAAAAATTATTACAAACAATATATTTTTAAAAAAAAATGATATTATCATCAATAGAATTTTCCAAAAAATTATTAACAACAATATATTCTTGAAAAAAAATGATATTATCATCAATACAATTTTCTAAAAAATTATTACAAGCAATTCAGTTGACTCTCGACAAAAACCCTCTTTACAAAAATACGTCAATGAAACCTGATTTAAACATGATTTCTTACAAAGAATACATATACTATTCATACGAACCTATCTTAAAAAATCTTGTCGGTTTTTAAATAACTCAATGAAGTTGATATGCCGTAAAACAAAAGAAACCAAACCAAATTAATTATTTATTCTCTTATTTATTTACTTTATTCACATTTAATTATATTCTATTCAAATCTTTCTTTCTATTCCTCGAATTTATACTTTTTCATTTCCAAATATATCACCATTTTCCATTCTTTTTTTTCTTTGCTTTTTTCTATTTTACTTTCATTCATATTTTCTATTTTCTGTGTTCTTTCTTGGTTTATTTTATGTTTCATTGTATTCCCTTTTTTATTGAATTCCTTCTGTCTTTTTCTTTCATTCATTCTTTCTGTCTCTCTTCCTTTCTCTATTTCTTCATTTTAATTATCGTTTTATATTTTGTTTCATTCATTATTTATTTATTTATTTATTTATTTATTTATTTATTTATTTATTTATTTATTTATTTATTCTCCAGTTACTTTCAACATTTCATGCTATTTTCTATTTCTTTTTTCGTTTCTTTCTTTCTTTCTTTCTTTCTTTCTTTCTTTCTTTCTTTCTACGTTTTTAATTCTCCCTTACTTTCTTTCTTCCCTTCCTTCGTTTCTTCCGTCCTTTTTTCTTTCTTTCTTTCTTTCTTTCTTTCTTTCTTTTCAGTTCGTTCTACGTTTTTAATTCTCCTTTCCTTCCTTTCTTCTTTCCCCTTTCTTTCTTTCCTTCTTTTTGCCCTTTTTCCCTTCTTTCTTACTTTCTTTTTTCAATTCTTTCTAAGTTTTTAATTCTTTCTTTCTTTTCGTTCTCCTTTCTATCTTTCTTTCTTTCCTTTCTTTCGTTCTTTCTTTCTTTCTTTTCAGTTTTTCTACGTTTTTAGTTCTCACTTCCTTCCTTCCATTCTTCATTCCTTTCTTGCTTTCTCTTATTTTCTCTCTCTCTTTCTTTTTTTCCACGTTTTTAATTCTTCCTTCCTTCCTTCCTTCCTTCCTTTTGTGTTTTCCCTCATCTATCCTTTTTCCCTGTCGTCCATTTTTCTTTTTCTTTTCCTTCATTTGTCTCCCTTTATCTCTGTTCATTCATCACTCTTTATTTTAACATTTTAATCTTTTTTTTTCTTTCGATTTTCTCATTCAATATTTTCCCATTAATTCCTTTTTCTTGTCTTCCATTCATTAATCATCTCTTTTCTTATTTCTTTATTTTTTTCGCTAATCAACTAAACCAGTTGCCAATTATTGCATAACAATTTACCTTCAATGCATTTGTATCGATGCAGAGTCTAAGAGAATAAAAGCATATTGATCGGAACGAAATGCAAATGACGTCAAATGTTGACGTCAATGCTCATAAAAGCCTTCTATGATAAACAACGAACTTTACTCCAACAATTCTCTGGGCTTACGGCCATTTTACTTTGAATCATTGGTTCTCGTACGATCACCGAAGTTAAGCAACGTCGAGCCTGGTCTATACCTAGATGGGTGACTGTCTGCGAATACCAGGTGCTATAATGTTGGATATACGAATTGTATAGCTTACGGTCATATTACTGTTACGTGTTGATAATTGTAACAAAGGAAAAAAAATGATTTACCACAACACAGAGCTAAATCACAAACAAATATTTAATTTACTAAAACAGAACATAAAATATATACAAGATAAACAATTGTGGCCTACAAAACAGAAAACACAGAGTTACTGGCGGAGTTTTACGAGGAAGAAGAAAAGGGAGTCAAATATCTTCATCACTTTAGGGCTAGTGAAGGAATCTAAGTGCTATATTTGGAAATCCACAAAGTTGTGTAAATAAATATTAATTTTTAGTTTGGTCAATGAAAATTAGTCAAAATTCTATTTACCAACTTTGTTCCATGAAATTCTCTTTTGGGTTTTGGTTCGTCGGCAACTTTTTATAGAGATTCTTTCGGCTGGATATAATAGTCCTTGAATCAAAAGCCGGAGTTGATAACAGCAGAAATTCCCACTCATCAACTGAAAACCCTTTTCCAAAATCCCATTTTTATAGGGGCTAACACCTAATTTGCATATTTCTAGATGTTTCTCGAATCATCTAGATTTTTCTCGAATATACTGGAATGATCTAGAATCTTCCAAACATTCTATTTCTAATGTCTCTATTTTACAACTACTTCATGAATGAAAACTTTTTTGTAATAACAAGTAGAACTCAAAGGAATCCCTTATTATAGAAATGCATCCTCGTAACAATTACGTTGAAACATCAGTTCTCGTACGATGATCGAAGTTAAGCAACGTCGAGGATGGTTTATACCAAGATGGGTAACCGCTTGGGAATACCAGGTACTCTAAGCTTGAATATACGTGTGGTATGACTTACGGCCATATCATGTTGAAACACCGGTTCTCGTACGATTATCGAAGTTAAACAACGTTGAGCATGGTCTATACATAGATGGGTGACTGCTTGCGAATAGGAGGTGTTGTAATCATGGATATGCGAATTGTATGGCTTACTTTCATATTACGTTGAAACATCAATTCTCGTACGATCACCGAAGTTAAGCAACGTTGAGGATGGTTTATATCAAGATGGGTGACCGCTTGGGAATACCAGCTACTCTGAACCTGAACATGCTTACGGCCATATCATGTTGAAACACCGGTTCTCGTACGATTACCGAAGTTAAGCAACGTCGAGCATGGTCTATACATAGATGGGTGACTGCTTGGGAATATCAGGTGCTGTAACCTTGAAAATGCGAAAGGCATGGCTTTCGGCCATATCACGTTGAAACATCAGTTCTCGTACGATGACCGAAGTTAAGCAACGGCGAGGATGATTTATACCTAGATGGGTAACCGCTTGGGAATACCAGGTGTCTAAGCTTGAATATGCGCGTGGTATGGCTTACGGTCTAATCATGTTGAAACACCGCTTTTCGTACGATGACCGAAGTTAAGCAACGTCGAGCCTGGTCAACAGCTAGAAGGGTGACCACTTGGGAAAACCAGATGCTGTAAACTTGGATGTGCGCGGCAAATAGAGCCGGGCTGCTTATATTCATCTATATGCTAATATCTCTGGAAACGGTATCAATCAACCGCTTTCCCCCAGCTATGAAATACCGGTTCTCATACGATTACCGAAGTTAAGCAGCGTAGAGCCTGGCCAAAAGCTAGATGGGTGACTGCTTGGCAATACCAGATGCTGTTAACTTGGATGTGCGCGGGAAATAGAGCCGGTTGGCTTATATTCATCTACGTGCTACTATTCCTGGAAACGGTATCAATCAACCGCTCCCCCCCAGCTATGAGGTAATAAGTAAAATGTTTATAAGAAAACTATTACGTTCTCAAAATATCACTTACATTCCACAAATATGCTTCGGTTTTATATATCCTTAAAAAGGTAGATAAGTTAACTAACAATTAAGCAGTCCCAAAACATTGGAATTCTTCTATGTGCCGTGTCCTTTCAGGACGTGAAGGATCCTGCTTTTCTACAAGGTCCTTTTCTTTGTAGCTCTTAGCAAGATTTGACTATCAACCCTAATCGATGTTGTGCCAAACATTTAGACAAACCTGTTTAATAGGTTATTCATCGTTCCTCTTCTGATCCCACTTGCCTTGTGGGTATCAAATTCTCCAAAGCCGCTTTCCTTATTAGGTATCCTCGTGTTATATTCGTTTTCATTTTCTCTAAAATCTGTTGCTCACATGTTCAGTCCATGGTGTTCTCAGCATCCTTTAAGTAGAATCACATTTCTGTTGCTTCAAGTCTCTTCTTCATCTTCGAGGGGAGGGTTCATTAGCTGCCATACTGGAACTTAACATTGCAATAGTTCAGTGCTCTTTTCTTTGTTCTTATTGAAAGTTTCTTGTTTGTTAACACTTTAATTAAAATTTGGAAGGTATTTTTCCTTATTCCAATGCACCTGCGGTTTTAGGTATCTAATTTTCCGTCTGGGTAGGTCGGTGGAGTAATGGATAGCGGCTCGGATTGAGGAACCGGAGAGCTGAGTTCGAATTCCAGTCGAATCCATTACATTCACTTACGTGCTAATACCCTTGGGAATAGTATGAATCCTCTTCTTCTCCCCCAAGCTATGGGTAAATAGCAGGACAGACCGGGTTCAATAGCGGCTCGGATTGATGAATCGGAGAGTCGAGTTCGAATTCCAGTCGAATCCATTACATTCACTTACGTGGTAATACCCTTGGGAAAGGCATGAATCATTAATTAATAAATATATATATATTTTTTAATCATTTCACTTCAAGCAAGGTAGGAGCGCCACTAAAACGCAAGGAGTTATAGAGAATAAAAGTGAGAGAAAAGACTGGTTATAAGAGAGGTTGCCAAAAGGGGAAAAGATGAACACGGGTTCAAGGCAAGAGAAGGTGGCGGATGACGTTATATTTATTTTTTTTTTGAATTATTTTACTTATCAGGGAAACAAGTAAACCGTAGGGTATTCCATTGTAGGGGAATCCGAGAAAAGAAATTGCTGGAGCAGAATTGGCGGTTACATTTAACTATTTTAACAGTAAAAGCGTAGGACTTAGATGCTAATCTATAAGCACGGTTAAATTCGTGTAGTCGAGGCATCAGTGGGGAAAAAAGGATCCTCAGAGCAGTTGTCATGAAAATATTTGTAGAAAAGATAGAGAGAATCTACATCTTGTCTGTGAGAAAGTAACGGAAGTCGAGATGCCAAGTCAGGGTCGATTACATTGTGGATCTTTGGATTTTGTTGAGGACCTCGAGATGAACAGCAGGGGCACCGGACCAGATATGGCAATCGTATTCAATGCACGGACGAATGGCAGATTTGTAGATGGTTAATATGGACTCTGACGAGAAAAAATAAGAAGTCTGGCACGACACAGAGAACCAACTTTCCTTGCAGTAGATGCTGCTATTGATTCAATGTAGTTGTTCCACTTCAAATCAGTTAAAAACGTGAGGCCAAGAAGGCGCAGCGAGATGGTTTCCATGAGTCGCGCAATAACCACGCTGATGGCGGGCAGGGATTTTTTTTTTCTCTGTGGCCGGTAAATGAGAGCAGTTTAGTTTTGTCGGCATTAAACAACAAGAAGCTAAATTTGCTTACTTTCTGGAAGACATTTAGGCTATTGCAATACCTCTTCGGATTTCAGTGACTCAATTTCCGTTTTATGTTAAAACAATACATAGATATTTAAATTTTTTTGCTTGCTTGATTTTGGTGATTCCAACTCGTAGTTTATATAACTTAAGAGAGTATGGCCTAATAATGTCTATAATAGAATAGAGAATTACTTTAAATTTATGTATACTTCAACTGTTACAAATACAAGAACTACTTTTTGAATTATTAGTAGTTCTTGCATTTGTAACAGTTGAAGTATAATACTACTAATACTATTACTATTACTACTACTACTACTACTAATAATAATAATAATGGCACAGACTCAGCCTTCATACATCAGAAATCAAATCAACGCAAATACTACTAATACTATTACTACTACTACTACTAATAATAATAATAATGGTACAGTCTCAGCCTTTATACATCAGAAATCAAAACAAAGCAAATACTACTAATACTACTACTACTACTACTACTACTAATAATAATAATGGTACAGTCTCAGCCTTCATACATCAGAAATCAAATCAAAGCTAATACTAGCACAACTACTACTACTACTACTAATAATAATAATGTTACAGTATCAGCCTTCATACATCAGAAATCGAATCAAAGTAAATACTCCTAATACTACTACTGCTACTACTACTACTACTACTAATAATAATAATGGTACAGTCTCAGCCTTCATACATCAGAAATCAAATCAACGCAAAGACTCTCTTAATTACTTGGAGGTGTTGTTTTGGTGAATAATGACAGAATATATAAAATATCCCTGTTATAAAGTATAATGGGTTAAAAGTATTCACTAATTCGGATTTGCGGTATTTACAAAGGGCGCCCACGTCGCAGCTGGATGTGATAGAGGGTCAAGAATTAAAATGTGTCTAACAGCCATACCGCCAAAAATACCCAAGTTTCCTCGGCACTTCCTTTTTTGGGAATGACTCGAGCACTGGGCTATAAACCCAATCACCTCCCGAGGGAACGGTACTGTCTGGGCTGGGTAAAGCCTCCTGCAGTTTGATATAATATTCAAAGAATCCAAATACCAGCCAAAGTTTAGGATTTGTGGTATTTACCAAGGCGTACATGTCGCAATCGTATGTGACAATTGGTGGAGGTTTAAAGGGGAGTCAAACGGTCATACCTCCCTCAAAATCCCCAAGCTCCTTCGACACTTTCCCTTTTGGGAACGCCTCAAGCACTGGGCAATAAACCCAGCCACCCTCCTGGTGGAGAGATTATGGCTGGTGGAAGACCCCTGAGATTTGGGCTAATATTCAAAGAAGACAAATCCAATCCAACCTGTATGTTGGTGTCACCTGGGACACTGTAAGTAGAATTGCATATTCCTTTTCTCACGAGGCCCAGAGCTCCGATTACTATTTGTATTAGGCTGGTGCAAAAATAAAGACGTAATAATGTCGTTTTTGACGTACTTTTCTACGTCAAAAAACGACACCCTTAGGTCATTATTTTTGCACCAACCTAATATAATCTCAGTCTTCATTCCCCAGATCCTATTATGAAGGATGAGACTGTACCATTATTATTATTATTAGTAGTAGTAGTAGTAGTAGTAGTAGTAGTTGCAGTATTAGCAGTAGTTGTATTCGTATTTGCTTTGATTTGATTTCTGATGTATGAAGGCTGAGGCTGTACCACTATTATTATTATTAGTAGTAGTAGTAGTATTAGTAGTAGTAGTATTTGCTTTGATTTGATTTGATTTCTGATGTATGAAGGCTGAGGGTGTACCATTATTATTATTATTAGTAGTAGTAGTTTTTGATTTCATTTCTGATGTATGAAGGCTGAGACTGTACCATTATTATTATTATTATTATTATTAGTAGTAGTAGTAGTAGTAGTATTTGATTTGATTTGATTTGATTTCTGATGTATACTCATCACTTTCAGGGTCCCAGTCAGAGAAGTAAGGCCAAAATTGGCATCGTTAACCAGAAATGTTTTGGATTGTAAGAATAATTTTTTTCGAATGAATATAGCATTAACAATTTATTACAGTTGATATTCCTATTATTTAAGTCATAGCTGGGAGGTGGCATTTACACGTAAATAAAAGAAACACTAATGTCATTTGATTTCGTTTCTTCATGCTCAGTCATTATAGATTATAGCATAGAATAAAAATAACAGTTTATAAAACTGCTATTCAGCCGGACGGCTGTCATGGGTAAGACGTTAAACTGCATCCGCGTCCTGGGTAAGACGTTAAACTATGTCCAGCAGCAAGGCCACAGTTCAGGACGTTTTGAGGAGCGTGGAACCACCTCTTAATTGCTGGTGTTCCCAGGTCCACCCTGACCCGGGGCGGTAGCACCTATTAGGGTCCCAGCTATGAGCAAATAGTTAACTATTACCAGCAATAATTTTTTGAAAAAAATTGTTACCAGCAATACAGTTTTGAAGGAAATATAATACCAGAAACAGATTTTTGACAAAACAAAATATTACCAGCAATAAAAATTTTGGTCGGCATTAAATAACCCATTGAGTTTGATGTGGCGAAAAACAAAATAAACCAAACCAATGTAAACCAAAGAATTCATATTCTATTCATGGGAATTTATCTTAAAAATGTTGTCGACATTAAATAACCCATTGAGGTTGATATGCCGTTAAACAAAATAAACCAAACCAATCTAAATCAAAGAATATATATTCTATTCATACGAATCTATCCTAGAAATGTTGTCGACATTAAATAAC